CCTGCTACTTCATCTCACCCTGTTGTATGTTAAGCACTTTTGTACACCACTGGTTTTAAATGTGTTATATAAATAAAGTTTGTTGGTGGTGGTGATACTAAATTGCCAATAGGTGTGAATGTGAGTGTGAATGGTAGTCTGTCTCTATCCTTGCGTCAGACTAGCAATCTATCCAGGGTGTACCCTGCCTCTGGTAGTTGGGATAGGCTTCAGGCCACCCATGCTCCTGATAAGGATAGCTAATAAGAGAACAGACGGAAATAGGTTTTGTGTTGTTTGATTGTGTAAATAGGTTGCAAGCTGTAAGCTGCAAAGAAAGTCACCTAAATCTGAAAAAGGGGTGAATGTTGTTCCATTTAATGAAATATGCACATAAAAATATGCATTTATTTGAAAATCGGGATGTTTACGCATGGATTTCTTTCATGTTTAGCAGTAGACCAATGAAAATATAACATACAATAATGACTCACAGACCAATTTGATTCAATGCTTAAGAGTTTAATAATGGAGGCGAGAAAGAAGAGTTCATGCAGTCGAATGAAGTTTTGCTAAAAGCATTCTTTCCATTACACATTCATTTTGATGCTATTAAAAGAGACAATCCAGCTCCAGGTTACGGCGTTTGCTGATTCATTCCTTATGTAGCATTACAGCAAAATAAAAGGAGTAAAGATATAAAAAAGATTCTTCCGGGGTAATTGAGATTATTTGCTTCTTTGTTTGGTGAACTATAGCTTCACGTCAGACAAGGAGTTATCTTCTTTTCTTGACGCAGACAAATGGGTATCGATAGTTACAGGATTTGTCATTCATACACTTCAGTCCTGCAAGCAGCAAACATTGACATTAATTGAAACCATAATCATTTACACATATACAAATCTATACTAAAAGAAATTAAAATAAAAACATTAAATTTGTGGAAAACACAACACTGTAATTGTTGTTTAAAAAACAAGTTTGATTTGATAAAAAAAAAAAAAAAATACAACAGCTGTCTTGTTACTAGTTGTCATGCCAAATAAATGAGAATTATTTGGGAAATCGTGGATACTTTGACAACATTTTCCCCTCAATATTCATAGAATACTTTCATTTGAGGATTCACCTGTCCAGTTCATGTGTAGGCAGTGCTCTCTGCCCCCAATGTTGTTAGGCTCTCCACGACACCAGTATGCGTATGTAAAAGGAGTTCCATCAATCCAAAACCAATAACGCTCCTAGAAAAAGCAATAAAATCGACAATAAAACATTATTGAATATTCATAGCATGTAGCTTGTTTTTAGAGAGACTGTTTTTCAAAGCCCAATTCTCTATGGCTAGAGTAATCTTTCTAACTGTCAGACCATGCATAATTATGAGTAGTATACCTGTTGAGCATCAGAGCCTCCAATCCATGTAACTGGGTAACTGTGAGTGGAACGATATATGACCCTCTGAATCTTGCGGTACTCTCCAAGGCTGTGTACAGATGCCAGGTTTACATGCATGGACTGACAGTGTCTCTGTAGTGGAGATAAACAGACACCAGAAATTTCAAGATTTGCGATTTAACAAAGCAAGACTTCAGAAAACAAATTAGCAAACAGAGAAAGAGTAAATAGTGAATCCAAATAACTGTTTACCTGAGCTTCTATAGTGAAAGGGACAGTAGCGGAAGTATCTGTTTCCGTACCTACTCCAACCAAAATACCAGTGCCGGAATCTCTTGACGACAAGATGCTGTCCTGAAGACGAGCAAAGAATACTTTAGTAAAAGCAATTTGTGTTTTTCTTGGGTTTTTTTTTTTGTATAAATGTATTTATATGTACATTAAACTAATTTTATGAATGACTAACTCTTAAAAAAAAAAACCACACTCTTTAATACAAATGTAGCTAAAAATATATATAATATTGACATATCATTCTCCTCTTTAGCATGGCAGAAATGAGACAAGTTTGGGGGAAAATCAGTAATATTCTGACTGACGTGACTGAATTGATCCCTCTGCATTTTCCATCTGGAAAAGCAGGGCAGATTAAAACAGCAGAGGATGACTTTAATAAATAATACTGCAATTCTCACCAGCAACAGTGGTCACAACCATCACTGCACAAAGAAGTGCAGACACAGTCAGCAGCTTCATGTTGATATTCAGAATCTCTTTAAAAAACAGAAGACCCAAAGTGATTGACAGTTTATTAAAGAAAAGAAGATAAACTGTTTTTGCACAAACCTTTTGTTGATGTCTTGTCTTATTTCTTGACAGATCTACCCAGTAGCTTCAGGTTTCCAGTGAGAAGATGCTTAACAGCTTTGACATCAGGGCTTTTATACTGTTCCCTTAGTTTAAATCAGGAACTACTTTTATCTGCTCCCTCGCCACAAGGTGTCGCCACAACGGGTAGCTCTGCAAGTGCATTTCATAATTTTTAACATGTACGTCATGTGACTCATTGCACTTCTTTGTTTCCTCACCAAAACAAAATAACTGCCTCATGCTGACTTAATTTTACATTGACTGGTTAACTGATGATACCACGATAATGAGTTAATCTGTCGGTCACAGACTTGTCTCACATACAGCTTCTTGATTAGTTATGTGCGATGCATATTAAATAAAACAAAAACGGAGTTAAAATGCATGAGCAATGTGTAAAAAAAAACAAAACAAAATGCACCCTTACTACTTAGAATAGAATAGAATGGCCCTTTATTGTCAATGTATATGTACAACAAAATTATGAAAATTATTAAACATGTGCACTTGGTTAATTGATCACTAGCAACATTGGTATGGCCCACACCTGGGCCAGCACAAGGCCAGGTAGACACGCTTGTGGTCCTGTGAAAAAAGCTGAGGTTTTCTTGGTTGGATGGTCTAGAGCAGGGGTCTCAAACTCGCGGCCCGCAGGCCACTTGCGGCCCACATCACCTCTACTTGCGGCTCACATATTGACATGAAGAAATATTTTTTTTAATTATTATTCAAAAAATTATTTCATATGAAGGCAATAGGCAGAGTGTTACAGGCATAGCCCTAAAGAATGTAGCCTCATAGGCAGTGTAGTCTGTGCTGCAGGGAGAATGGATTCCCATACCCGTTATGTGTCTGTGAGCGCAAGGGAGGGAGAAAAACGAGAGTCGAAAAGTACAAGCTGTCACCAACCAGAAATGGGAGCTGGAAGCATGTAAATATAATAATAACCACTGCAGCCAAGAAGAGTGTCTGAAGAGCCCAATTGTAAGTAAGCTATTACGACTCGACTGTACACTGTGTTCATGTTTTCCTCCAAAACAATAAGTTCAGTTGGAGCAGCCTTTCAACGCCTCTCTCTGTCTCTCGCTAGCAAAGTTGACCCAGACAGTAAAGCTAGTTTTCGGCTATGAGCCTGACACGGAACCCAACATATTAGCCAGAGGTCCTTTTACTACGGTTCGGAGCCGCGGACCTGGCCGAGGTAACAAGAGAGTATAAACAAAAAGAAAACAATTTTCACTAACAGTCAAAAACGAATGTGTAGACTTATGTCTGCATTTTTATTTAATTAAATACAAACAAAATCATAGCAGAAGTGCTGCCAGGTGTCTGGCCAGAAAGAGAGGACCAATTTGTTTATTTGGCAGTTCAATGAAAGGCTTCAGTTGGTTAAGAGTGAGAAAGAAAATTGCGTTAACATTTGCAGTTTTGTCTTGTTATTGTCATATGAAGGCTGTGTGCAGGCAGGGGTGGTGGACCCAAAGTGCAGACTCACGGAAACAAAAGGAGAACTTAAATACAGCTTTAATGCTGGATGGCAAAACTGAAAACTGGTTGCATAACAATACAAAACTAACCTAATCAGGCAGGCTAGCAGACAGACAGAACACACAGTAAAAGATAGATCGTGACACTGACGCAGAGAAACACAAAAATAAAATAAAAAATACACAGAGGGAGCAATCAGGGAATGGGTAACAGCAGGGAAACACAGCTGGCCTAACAAAAATCAGGCCTAACCAGATGGGGGAAGCAAAACCAAATACATTAACATAAAACCGGAAACATAACACAGAGACACAGACTTGACACGGGGATACAGTAACTATGGATCACAGTCAGAAAACCAGAACACTAAAACTCAAACAAAACCCACACAGAGAACCTAAACTAAGAATAATCCTATAACCCATAAGACAAAGCTAGAATATAATGAAATAAACAAAATCAAAGAACCAAAAACCCAAAACAGGGTCAACGACCCAGGCACCCTAACAATATTTGAAATTTGAAAAAGCAAACAAAACTGATTTTAGGAAATATTAGTGGGTGTTTTCTGTTTTGTTTTGTTTTTTTTTCTGTACTACTTGAACACTAAAGTGGCCCTCCAATGAGATGACGGTGCCAGCAGTGGCCAGTGGCTCATTTTGAGTTTGAGACCCCTGGTCTAGAGCATCCAGGAGTGAAAGACATGAGCAATGATTTTAGAGAAGCAGCTTTGCTGCTCATCAATCTGGGGACAGATTTAAGGCTATTTCCAAACAACCTAAAGTACAGAATTCTAAACTGAGAAATAAAAAATTGAAGATAGCGTGGACATCCCAAAAAATTCATCCAATATGAGACTGTGCAAAGATCAGAGACATTTCAAAAACGAACAAAACAAATCACTTGAAAGCTTCATCTTCGACACTGCAGGCCTCAGTTGGGAAATACACTGAATGGATTGTTTGGCAGAGTTGGCAGGAGAACAGTCCCTCTCTACAAAGGCTATAGCATCATGCCTTAGATTTGCAAAGTTGTATCTAAACGAACAATAAGATTTCTGGAACAATGTCCATTGGACAGAAAAGAAAAATAATTGCGGGTGTCTGGCCATACTGCACAGCATGGTTGGTGAAACCAGCTCCAGGTCTGGGCAACTACTTTCAATCTGTAGATCAGATGGAAGAAACTGTAAAAAAAATAAAAATAAAAATGGAATAATTATGTTTTCTGTTATTAATTTTACAGGAAAAGTGTACGTAACAGTAACAACTTCTGTTTAATCACCTGGCAAAATATTTATTACATTTACAGATCAAACGGGACCCACAACAATTCAGAAGAGCAATTACATAAAGTAGGCAGGCGATGTAAATGTTCTTTTATGTCTTTAAGCTTAACCTAGAATTTATTTACAGGTGCATCCTCATTGAGAATACTGTATTAAAAACATGGTTAGTGACAAGACTGACATATATTCAAATAATGTTTGTGGAAATGCACAAAACAGTAATAAAGTAAGTCCAAAATCTTGTCGCATACACTCTTAATCTGGCATATCAGATCCAGAGCTTTGTGAACTGTGTGCTGGTTGAAGGCAGAAGCCTTGGCAGAACACAGGGACACAGGGAAGTGGTGAGCCTTCACTTCCACTTCCTCCTTAAGAATGACTTGGTGACTTTCTATATCTGACATGTGGCTCTAGTCTCAGCTGCGATGCATTTAAGCATCGCAGCTAATTTTGGGATGCTTTTGCATTTATGTTGAAAAAGGATCAACAACAAGAAATCAATTTTTCTAGTGTTATATGACATAAAGCAGCCATATCATACTTTCAAATATTGCCCAACTAAGTACTTTGGGTCTACCTAAAGTAAGGTTCTTTAATGTCCTCCGGAGAGGTTTTAGTTCTTTTCAAAGATTTGGTTCTTTTTGGTCTGCTCCCTTTGAAGAGCCAGCTGGCACAGCTCTCAAATGGCTCTTCATTTAGTATCTCTCAGCGCCTTCAAATACAAAGGATGCATGTGTGACATGTTTATTCAGTGTTTTCATAAATGTCTTACTTTTTGCATTTGCTACTGCTGGTAAGAATAGATATGGTGTTTAAAGATTGGACAAATGTTGTTAGCCATTTTCCATTTTGGAGGAGTAATTGGCTCCTTACCCAGTTTCTCATTAACACTTATCCGTTTGCCTTGGGTCATTTGTTTTGGAATAAATGCACCCATTTTCCTAAATGTACAATTATTGAATTGCTGAAGGCCAGTGTATACCTGCAGTTTTCGGCAAGACAATGGATACTATAGAAGTACTCAAAATGGGAAACTGCTCTAGGGTCAGTGGCTGGAGGAAAAGGGCAGATCTCCTCCAGCTGTATGGACGAGTGAGTGTATATGTTTATTGTTGACCTTGCTCTGATTGATATTTTCAGTTTGTACATTTTGCACTCAGCTTTGCAGTCTTTTCCCTTTCTGCAACAACAGAAGGACAATGTTTTTGAATTGCAGCCAGTTGTTCCTACTTTCTATTCTCTTAACTTTCTCCTAACGTGGCTGAATTTAAATCCAGGTCCCCAGCTCTCTGTGCTTACCTGGCCTCTACCACTACACTACCTGCATGGATTCTCCACAGAGCTGGCTCACCTCAACGGGAGTCGGCTCTTCTCACACGCTGCAACAACAGAATGGCACATCACTATTTTATGAACCCACATTGAACTTGAATTTGAAGTTCTTAATGTTTTCTTCTGACAGGAGATCTTTTTATAGCACCTCTGGAATGTGGATGCTTGACTGCGGTCAATGTGCTGCTAATGTTTGCTTTGCTTTGGTAAGAATGGGGGCAGTAGAAAACAGACAAGTGACATGAAAACCAAGAATAATAATAAAACAAGTAATAATAACAAATAACTAATTTGGGGACAGTTTAACCTAGAGCTCACTAACTGGCCATTAGGGGGCTCTGAGTGATAAACAACGTGGAGTAACATTGCCCAAGTGTGACTAAGACAAATTGCGGCAATAATAGTGATTTAATGATTGGAGAAAACCTGAACATGATACTTGTCTGTTGTGCTGAATCTTTTATTACTCTATGATGTACAGGTGGTTGTGCAAATGAGCTGTTTGATTTAACGGATTTGCTTTTTAGGTAAATTGGGAGTTGAAGGAGCTTAACATGTAACTGCTGACTAAGTTTTTACACAGGGTTACAGCTTGGCGGGAGAGTGTTTTGGAGAGGATGTGTAATGTTCTTGTGCAGTTTCCAGTGGGGAGATTGCAAATACAACTAGAACTATTAATTGTGACTAATCAAAACTAACCTGAAACTGAGGAGGTTTTAGATAAGGAGGAATTAAAACAGATATAAAATGCATCCGGTCTTTAATTGCAGGTGTAACC